CTAGGAACTTTGCAAAGCGCTATCTGCTCCACCCTTGACAGAGCCCTCTCCGCGCTGCAACGGGACTCTGGTGTCCTCTCCTCCTGGCTGCAGCTCTGCCCTCCGAGCAGGCAGCTCGGCTCGCCTGGAAGCGACTGCTGCACCAGGCAAGCAAAGCAATGCCTGCCCAGGGCCCGGTGAGCAATCCTGGCGAAAACCCAGAAGGACGCATCTCCAGATACCTTGTAAGATCCTGCTTCTGCAGAGCAGCAAACCCATTTAGGACCGTTGAGAACTGCTAGTCCAGACCCAACCTGTTCAACCCAAGGTCCTGTGCTCAATGGCAGCCAGCATCGGAAGACTAAGAAAAGAATATAAGAAACAGGGCATTTATAGAGCAATACCTCTACTAGCCATGAACTGCTGTGAGGGTTAGAGCCATCCCAAAGCATCCATCAGAATAACATGAGCCTTCTCCTCAAAACGCCTCAGCAGTTTTTCCAGTTTTACCCTGTCTCTCCTGGTTTTTCTCACAGCTTCAGCACTGACCAGCCAGCAGCTATGTGAGACTGTCAGGTTTTGCTCTGCACATAGAGCAAACTTCCAGCCCTGACGGCTGGAGAGAAAAGTTTGAGAAAAAAAACTCAAAAGGTCAAGAGTCCGACAGCACAACTCTTCCCTCCAAAGTGATTTTTCAGAGCGTGTCCAACTCCTGATTAAACAGCCCTCTTCCCAGCAAGACCTTCTCTCTCCTGGCTTGCGGTAACATGGGACACGGCCCTCTCAGCCTCCCTGGTAATTATCTGCCCCACCTCATAAACAACACATCCTGCACTTCAGAGGGAGGATGAGGAGCAGAGCACAGCAAGATCACCAGGGCCTCTAGCATGCGGCTCTAATCTATCCCAGATGAGTAGGCAGGAGAGACCCCAAGGCTAAACACCCGCATGCAGGAGGAGGACTGAAGCCTGCCGTGTCCAATTGAATCGGCAGGGAGGATGAGATTATTTCCAGAGAAGGAATTTGGCATGGATACCCAAGACCATGGCCCTGCTCCTCCAAAGGGGGAGAAGGGCTCTTTGCATAGTCATTAATCAAGACACCAATCTATTATGTCTGCGCTGCCCTTGGCACAGTGCTCCCAAGCAAAAATGCAGGATACGTGGACTCCTGGGGAAGAGAGTCTCCCACTGAGGTCCTCAGCACCCCTGGGCTTCCCAGGAAAAGTCTCAGATTTCTCAAGAGCCCCGTATGTGCCAGGATATAAGAAAAAGAACAGGAAGAGTAGCAACCCCGCCTGCAGACTATTGCATACGAATGGTAAACACAAGCCATTTTGAAGAGTGTTCTCTCTTCAGAAGTTCGGTCTGGCAATAGGAAGAGGGAGCGAGCGGTCAGGCCTACATGAGCCTGCCTCACTCACCGTTCCAAGCGCCTTTCTCCTTTACAAATCACTTCAGTGGCCCCATGACCAGGTGCAGTCCAGAGATGTGACTGAAGAAACCGATAACCCAGCCATCTGTTTCTGCTTGTTGGTTTACTTTCACAACCCACCAAAGCCCTTTCTGGTCTGAGACCTATGCAAATGCCCCATACTTGAGAGCAGCTGACATGAGCAGCAGGCTTCAAGAGTGGCATGGCTACAAGCCAGCCAGAGGGCCCGAGATACATGAACCTTTACTTGAGAGGACTTGCCAAGACTGGAAGGCGTGCTAGGTGAGTTAAAAATATCAAGGGCTCAAATGGGCATAAATAAATCTGAAACAAGCACCTAATCTAAGGCAGCCAGCCACAGCTTCTTGCAAGTAGCAACTAGACAGGAGAAAAGATACTGAGCCTTATGCAGGTGTTCATATCCTGGGACAGGGATTTCAAAACATGCCTCAGCAGATGGTTGGTCTTGCTGATTTCTAGCAACTCTCCAGCATCTGGGAAGCAAAAAAAAGGTTAGCACCACAACTGGGACCACATAAGCAGGCAGGCAGAGAGAGGTAAAGCAGCCGCCCTAAGCGTAGGGAAGTGTCCCCAGGGTGAAAGATGCTTTTCTGGGTGGGGGAAGGCTGAATCCACCACCTGCTGCAAGGGACCTGCAAAGGATTTTCCATTGCATGTTTTAGTCTCAAACCCCAGAGGCTAAAGAAGCCTCAGTGCACTTTAACAGCTGGTAATTCTAAGACTAGTTCTCCCCTCGCCCTCTTCGAAAAATAAATCAAATAAATCAAAATAAATCAACCTTATTTTCCAGCACCCAAACCCAAACCTGCTTTACCTGGTTAAAGTGTTTCATACGAACAAGGCATATCAGAGCCACGCTCCAGGGAGGAAACGCTATTTTTCAGCGCTGGCGTGCAGCAGCGGCAGCTCCAACTCGCCACCTGCCGGCCCAGCCCGCGGGGTCCGGGGCCACCGCGCTGGCCCTGGCTGCTCCCAACGAGTAGCAGCACTCACGCAATCGCTTTCTGCTTCAGGCGCCCAAAAAGGCCGGGAATCAGGTGGGAAGCAAGGGAGCTACCGTGGAGAATATTGCCTGGGCCGCGTAGGGCCGGGGCTCCTCTCGCACGGATGCTCTCGGGCCGCTGGCTGATTTTTCAGGTCACTCGACTTCTCACTCGCTCTGCTTATAAAAACATACAGGCTCAGAGTCCCCAAAACGCTAATAGATCTAGCGACCAGAGGTGCCGCAAAAGCTCAGAGCCCCTGTTCGTACCGTGAGGGTTTGTGGCACTTGAGATGCATCCCTCTTCCTTAATTGCACTTAAGAATAGCTAGTGCTTTGCATAAAATGCTCCCCCAGCCCCTAGGACCAAAAAGGAAATGAAACAGCAGCCAGCGCTCAGCAGTGCCCGAGTTGCAGGGCCCCATTAACAACAGCTTATACTTAAATACCTCTAACTAGTTCTCTGTGGGACACTGCTCTTTGCAGTCCAGGGGAGGTTTACTGCACAGACTACTAGTAAAGACTTTAAACACTTAAAAATAGATACCGCATAGGGAGGGGGGGGGAAAAAAAATCACAGGACATCAGTGCAGCGTAGGGAAAAGCAGTGCAAAAATCATCTGTTTGCTCTGCATGGAGTCTAAAGTCCAGCTAAGTTTGCATGCGTAGTTAGCCAATGTACAGAGAGAGAGAGAGAAAAAAAAAGCTTCTTTAAAGTAAGGGCACCCTTCCAAGAGGCGGGCAGTCGCTGCTGTAGGTTTCCTCAGACAAGACTTTATCTAAACCACAAAGCAACATCTGTCATTACACTGCAGTTTAAGCAAAAGTCATGACTGGCTGGTGCAAAAACAAAACTGTTTAAATGAACACAAAGCAAAAATAAAAACAAGTTGAGTTCACAACCCCCAGCACTACAGAGCAAACATCTCCTAGATAAGCCCTGCCTTAGGAAACAGCACGAGCAAACTGAAATCTGAGGTCTCAGTACTCTGCAAAACAAAGCAGAAGTTGCGTTGTGAAGCTTTATTTAAGTCTAACTTCCGTACCGGGACATTTCCCCATGGATACCTGTATTTAGTTTTCCATGTTCTACATCTATTTTGAAGTGTGTAGGCTTAATTTCTTCTCATTTTGTGCAGGGAGAATTTGGCTTGTATTTATTTTTTAAATCTCCACTTTTAAAACTAATCAAGGAGTTGTGACTGTTTCTCCTTTGGTTAAGGTGCTTATCCTTTAAGGAAAAAAATGGAAGTTTCAATCCCTCTCTGTTTTACATGCCTATATCGGCTTACTGCTTTAAGCACGCATGCCTCAGCCAGGCGGGAATTTGCCCATCTCTGGCACCAGTATAAGTTGGAAACTGCAGGCGATGATGCAAGCGCACTGGCATATGAAAGATGAATGGGGCTGGGATTTTTGGTGGGGGAGCAGAAAGACAAGGAAACGTACAGCATTTCCAGTTTACACTGTTCCCACCCCCAGTCTGTACAATCCTTTGTTCTGCAGCACTTCAATTAAAAACACGTAAATCACTCCTAAGCTCTTGTATCATGTATAAGTAATACTGTTTCCTCTCCCTTTATTCCTAAGGCTTCTTAGGGCATGTGAAACCAGAAGGTCACAGTTTCACAAGTCTCCGGAAGGCCAATTACACGCAGTCCAGCCCCAGGAGCTACCCAGGCACCCTGCACAAGTCTGCTGCTGAGGAGACCCACCTCGACAAGCTGCAACCGCAGCCAGGCTACTTTAAGCAGCAAGCTCGTACTTTGGCACTTTGCCCACTTACACAAGAGGGAAATGCAAGAGAGCGCGCTTGTACCCAGCTTCCTTCAGTCCCTCTGCACAAGGGCTGTGGGGCAAGATAGCGCTGAAGGGAGGCAACAGTTCACATACACAGAATAAGGACTGGCATCTTTCTAGTCCTCCTATTCCAACTCCATTGCTGGGACCTTGCCTTCAGGGGAAGGGTTCGCTCCAAAGGGAGGAGTGTCAGCGCCCGAGACAGCAGCAGCAGCATCTATTTGCAGCCGCAGAAATCCAGTAGTACCAGTAACTAAGCACTGCAGAGACTGTCAGAGAATTCGATGCAGCCCAGGGTGGTACCCACTCTACTTGGGCTAACAACTTCAGGTATGTGCTGCGTGCAAGAATATCTTCTTTAGTCTTGTCTTTGAAAATGAAAGAGTTGAGCCTAGAAGACAACTGTTTTGATTCTTAAAAGTCTGAGCAGAAGCATCAGGGTCCATATGGGCACAGGTCACCTAAACTGCCCCAAGAGTCAGCTCTATTTTTACATCCAGTTCAGCCCTTGCTCTGTCGAGTTCAAGCAGTACTCTATACACCGGAGCAAGGTTCGTACTGCTACTGCCCACAGAAGACGAGCAGCATGGTGATTAGTAAATCTAGCATCTTTTGCAAGCCTAAGACCACTTGCAGTATGAGCGTAATGAACTACTACAACTACTACTTTTCTAGCAGAGCAAACAAGCCTCGCTGTAGCTTTGATGACAGCTGCACGATAATGTTCTGCTGACTGAAAAGAAAGCATTTCTCCAAAGAGTTCAAAAACTTCATTGAAATTCATTTTTTATTTCAAAAACAGTCATGAACTTAATAAATTACACAATAATTTTCCCCATTATAAATTCTTCATAAAATATATTTTACAACTTTTAAAGTTTTGAAAGTATTTTCTCTGAGTGCTGATGAGCATCTTGACTTTGTGTCATGCTGGTGAATAATTCTGTAGCTGCTACAACTGTTTTAAAACCTTTGATAAATCAAACTAAGACCTCAGACACAACAAAAAACAAAAGACAAAAAACACAGAACACAGACCTCAAGGACTATCATTCAGTGTTAACCAAGAAAACACTCAGCTTCAGCTCACATCGAGGCTAAGCACCACGAGAGGGATTTCAGGTACCCCCACCCCTTAAAGTGGCAATCAGTGCAAAGAAACACTTTGGGAGTCAAGAACTTGGCTGCGCAGTTTGTTATCGCGAATTTCTGGGCTGCAGGTAGGCAGCACATTCAGCGTTCGTCCTCTGAAACGCTACAGAGGATGACCAAATGACTTGCAAAGCGCTTTAAAAGTAAGTGCTGTTATTCCATAGGAGATTAATACTTTCAGATAACAGTTGATTCTGACTTTTGGATGGGCAGGAGAAAAAAAAAAGAAAGTTAGCAATGTATTTTTAGAAACTCAAGTTTAAGATGAAAGACTATACATGACCCTCATTCACTGACCACGCAGAACGCAAGCATTGTAAAATAGTGTTGGCAAAGATGGCAAGAGGTTTGTTTTCCTCCTTTCAGTAACAACAAGCCAAAGCTTTAATTGTACCAAATTCAGTAAAAAAAAAAAAAAAGAGACAAACAGATCTCCACTAGTAGAACAGAAGAATAAACAGATCTCTCCTTGTCATTATTCATATATAGACTCTCAGTCCACTTTTATAGACTGAGCTCTCTGCAGGGAAGAGGCAGCAGCACTGGGAAAGCGACACAGACAACAGACCGTATCCACAGCCAGCGTGATCCGGCCACCGCAGGCCAGGCCCCTCTATACTAGAGTGAGGCTCCTCTTGGCGGTGTTCAGTAATACCACAGTACGGCAGAGCATCGTCTTCTGATAAGTACTTTGTCCTTCTATAGCAGCTTCTAAACAACCAATATTGTTATGCTTTGAGAGAGGAAGGTATATTTGTCTAAAAAAAGAAAAGTCACGGTTTAGGTAACTTGCCTTAAATAAAGTGAAGCAAAATAACACAAACATGGGACTATGGACCCTGGAGTAACTGCTAGACTACGCAGTACCAGGTAAGAACCAGCAGTAGTCTAAAGTATCAGACGTTCTGGAGATTTGTAAGACTGAGACCTACTGGTTTGGTAGAATCAGTAACCATGCTATGAGACCCTTTCCTTTACTTTTGGAAGGACAACAGCAACAGAAAAAATTACATTTTTCCTTTTTTTGTGCTGCTAATTCATGCACCAGGCAAAATAAACACCAACTGATCAGAATCACTCTCTGGGATACTCACAGAAGCAAGCGGGAACAGTGTCCGATGAGTAAATTCCAAATTGCTAAGGCAGTTTCCAGGTAAGATTGGAGAAAAAAGTAACTTCGGTTTTTGGTTTTTTTTTTTTTTTTTAAACTGACTTGGTTGCAGCTTTAATGTATCTGCCTTTTAAAGGCCATTTTTAAAGTCTCTGCTTTTTCAAAAAGATCAAATGGATGAGGAAGGTCATGCTCCTGCACCCAACAGGAAAAAAGCATTTATTATACCATCACAAAGAAGCTTTTGTCTACCCTACAGTGCTAGGTAACCTTAGTGAAAATTCTCTCAGCATATGAATTTGTTTCTGTGGAATAAGAGCTGGGGCTAAGCCTTTCAACAACTTCAAAGCTTTTCGTCTTACCCTCCATGGTTTTAAATAAATACACTTTCTTAAAAGGAGGAAAACAAATCCAAATATTGGCCAAGGTTATTGCACAAAACTGAAACACCTTTTCATATACTGACTACTAAGCACTTTCTCCCATATTTGAAAATAGGTGTGTTTAACATGACAAAATCATCCCTTTATCACCTCATCACTACCAGGTTAGAAGCAGTGCCAGAAAGAAAGGAAGAGACCATAACCAATATATTGGTTAGATCCAGTTACCAGGAAACACTGTGTTGTAGCCCTATTTTGAAGGATCTTAAAATAATGTCTTCAGCTGCTGGACTCCCTCACCAAGTGTCTACGCTTCCATAAGCCAAACTCACAGAACTCTCCTACTGTAAGCATTCCAGTTGCTACTGGATTACAGATGTAAGAGTAGAAGGCAGGTTATGAAACTGTAGATTAACTAACTAAAGTTTTTGATTACTAGAAGAAATTGAATTATTAATGAGCTAACCAACATGCTAGCACATGATTCCATACATTTGTGGTCTGACTCCCTCAGCGATAAGCTCATTAAGCTGCAAGTGCTAAGCTCAACCATCTCAGCACTTTTAAAACTGCTGATCCCTTTGCATTGCTTTTTTTTTTTTGTCTACAAAGTCAAGTCTCAGACCCCATCTTTAATGTTAGATAATAAAAATAAATAATAAAGTCATTCAGTTTTGGAGAAGGAATGCTTCTCATCAATCTTCCTCACCCAGTTTTCTAGCAGATCCCAATCATTCAGACCATAGCAAATAATTTAAGAGTGGCATTTTCTCTATGGAATGCAACACAAACAGGCATGCACTCCCAGTCACTCACATGTACATAAACGTATACACAGAAAGCCCAAAGATTTGCACTACCAGCATGCAAACCTCTTTCCATGAGAGTTCCTAATACTGATATAGGAAACTGGAATGTATGAAATACTCCATGACATATTGCTGGAAATCAAGTCTCAGATCTTACGACATTCTGCTGCCAACTTATACAAACAAACATCTTCACATCTTACGTCTATATGTGTAAGACTAGGATGTTACACACAAGCGTATCTTTAACAAGGTGGCCAACTCAAGTTCACATAAATTAAGAAGCTCAAAAGAAATTCTGCCAATAAAAAAACAAACCCTGAAGGTTTGAGCTCAGGCTTGTTTCTTTTACTGCCATAAAGTTGCACCATTAGTAAGACCAAAAGCAGCTCTATCAAGAGACCAACTACTCTGTAGGTCACGTGTCCCAGTTGCTGTCTTTAAAAGCTATGTTGACCAATCGAAGTTCTAATTCAAAAGCATCAGGACGGTCCTGTGGATTGGCAGCCAACATTTCCTTGATCAGCTGTTTCATTCGAGCATTCATCGACTTCTTCTTTACAGGGATGAGTAGTTCCATTTTAGGGTTTTCTAGAAGTGCCTCTCCAACGGGCACAATTTCTGTCCCTTGCTTGACATAACTCCCCAGAAGTTCCTTCTTTGTTTCCGTATCTATGAATGTGATTCTTTCTAACATTGCCCAAATTATAATCCCCAAGGCAAAGATGTCCGCTTTGGCAGTGTAGTGTCCTTCCCAGACTTCAGGGGCCATATAGAAGTCAGTCCCACATGCAGTAGATAGAAAACACTTGTTTACATTGACTGGTTCTTCGGGATTCTGTCCTGAAGCTGAACATACCTTACTCAGCCCAAAATCAGCTACTTTCAGGGTAGGTTCCAAGTCACTAGCATCCATCCTGCTCTGCGATATCAGAATATTGTCAGGTTTGAGATCACGATGAATAATCTGATTTTTGTGCAGGAAAGCCAGAGCGCTGCTGAGCTGAAGCATGAAACTGGTGTTGGTCTTGCGATTAGGCTTTCGGGACAACAGATACTCGTTCATATCTCCTCCATCACAGAAATCCATTACAAACCAAAGGTAATAAGCGCTTCTGGGGTCAAAGACTATTTCTCCTTTTAATGAGGTCTCTACAAGCTGCAACAAGGAAAAGAGATGTCGTAACTGCCCGATGATCACAAGAATACAGAGATATGAGGGAAAAATAATGCATGAAGTTTGGACCTTCTTCTCTACAATCCAGAGAGTAATATATTGCAACTGACGAGAACAAAACCTTATGTGGCTTTCAAATCTTAAATTTGACAATGTATTTGACTGCCTACTTATTTCTCTGCATGAGAGGCATATCAAGTTTCCACTGGGGCCCAGAAGCTAGGGCTACACCTAGATAACAGTATTTTGAAAGATACTCAGTGGCCATTGCATTCCCATCTGTTTCAGCTGGGCAGTGTCCCACCCCTAACAAAGCTTGTCCCACCCATTTTGCTAACAACCTTAGTGAATAAACAGCATTTCAGCAAGTAACTTTGTACAGTGCCAATGGGCTAGACTCGTCCTCTGCTGATGGAGTAGCATAATAGATTTTTAAAACCTATTCTCTGTTCCTTATGCATGATTGCATTCTAGTAAGTGCTAACACAGTATCTCTTAATTCAGGAGAACGCTAATCTACATGCTCAGCTAAACAGCTGTGGCAAGTAATACATTTCTCAGCGTCATTATTAACTAGCTATATTCTGGAATACACGCAATGAATAACTTGGCGGCTAGTTCTAGTAACTGCTCTGTACAAGAACAAATTAAACCACCAATCAATTCCGCTAATCCTGTTTACACAACTACACATTTGCTTCTCCCAGGTGGCTGTTTGCATATTCTGGAAGGTAAGCAAGTCTTTTACTCATTTCTGTTTGTAGTAAACCAACATACATTAAACCAAACACTTTCTACAGGCTTTCAAAAACGAAGGCAGCTACTAAAGCACTTTGAACTGCCACTCCGAATAAGAAAAATTCAGATCTTATTCGGAGTGGCAAAGTTAGTAATAATCAATAGCTATTTTAAATTATGAGCACAGCTATTACTCAAAACAGACCAACTGAACAGTGATTTCACATCACTCACTACAAAGCCTAAATACGTAGTTTACGTTTATTTCACAATAACTTATCACAGCACAGGAGGAAGCCTCCTTAGCCAGACGAGCAACACATACACGTTCTCCTTCTACACAGGTTTACAGAAGCCTTGCAGGATTCTGCATCTTCATTCAGAGCATTAGATGACAAACTCTACTATCATGTCTAGCAGTGGCAAAGCACCACAAGGAAGACCAAACTAATTTAAAAGTCTCACTATATTGACTTGTTCAGCATATACCAATTAAGCATCTGCCCCAGGGTATTTCAGAAGACATTATTACCCTTTCCCCAGCCAGCTTTCTTTACCTACTGCACCAGTCCAGTTCTGTAAATATACATAGGTTGGGGGAGGGGGGGGAAGGGAAGAGCAAGCCAGCCAAGGGAGACTTTATTTGCCCTATCATAGCATACCCTATTATAAAGTTATCTAAGCCTCTTCAGAGTCTAAGTCCAAAGCTCAGTTGTGCCCTTTGCTCTTTTCTGCTCTTTGAAGCAGGAAAACAATTTGTAGCGCTTGTGCCTACTATTAACAGCCCCTGACAAGGCTCAGATCTGAGTGCTACCTTACTAACCAGACACTACTATCAGAAAAGCGTGCTACAGATGACCCGGAAACTCTTCCCACCCCTCTTGCAGTTCCACTGCAGTTGTCTGCAAGCTTGCTGCAATATCTCACCGCTTCACCAGGAACAGGAAGGTAAGCCACTAATTTCTCCCATATGAGCCGACCAGTACTATTTTACTCTAATCCCTGCATGAAAGCAGGTCAGCAACAACTACTGAGTTACAGACAGTTTACAAAGGCAAGAATGCTCTCTCAGGCTTGTACAGCTTCCAGTACAGTGGGATCTAGATAACCATGCAGTGTTATCACATGAACATTCGATTAAAAAAAGAAAAGAAAAAAGTCCTATGTTAGACATGCAAGAACAACAACAACAAAAGCTAAAATGATAAAAACTGACTAGAGATAATACAATAAACATTTAGTAAGCTATTGACTTTTAAAACCAGATAGGCAAGCTTCTGTGAGGGAATGTTTTAGAGTTGAGCCAGCTTCTTGACAAGGGAAGGAACTGGATGATCTTTCAGGGTTCTTCAAAGCTACTTGTTTATTGATCTATAGTATGTCTTCTAACTTGAAGGCAACTTAAGAAGACACCTTCAATAGCCACATTGGGGAAAGTGATATTTATTCCTCTGTTCCGTTATTTATCATATACTAGACCTTTACTCCTCTTTGAGGAGATTATTTACTCAGAAAAGAAATCAAAACAGCTCACTGTACTCTAGTAATTCCTTATTATTACTTCTGAACAAGTTTTAAGTGCTGGTTTCCTGAATCGAGACAGTTACTTCTTCTTCCAAGGACACCTCAGATTAAGGAATCTTTCAGAGCATCGTCTCAAGACGTCCATAAATACCTGTTCACAACAGCCTGTATCTCCGTTGTGCGTTATCTGTGCCCTTTCCCCAAATTATCAAAGCAGATTTGCATTAAAAAAAAATCTGGAGTGGCACAGCTTCCAAATAGAAGATACAGGTGATAGTTTGATAAGTATGTTCTTCTAAAGATCTAAAATAATTTTTGGATGTCAGCAGTGCATATAGTCTCTCTTAACTAAGCATATCTTTAAAAAAAAAAAATTCTTAGCTACCCACCTCCTTCCCTCCCAGCTACAGGTATATGTTGTTACTCCCACCCCATTACCTCAGCTTCATGTACCTGTAAATAAAGGGAGGAACTGGAGCCATGGGACATCTTCTGCACCATACCATCTTTCTGCAAGATGCACTCCTCCAGATGAATGACGTTGGGATGTTGGCTCTTGATACTGCTAAGCGCCCAGAACTCACGCAGAGCTAGTTCCACGTTCTCTGGAGCATGGCAGCGAATCTTTTTCACCGCAACCCGTGCGGAGGTCTTCCTGACGACTGCTTCGTACACCACACCATAACTGCCACGGCCAACCTCCCGTATTAGATCGTACTTAGGCTGGCTACTCACCATCTTCAAGATCAAAGGTTCTGGGGAAGGGGGAAGGGGAAAAAACCCATAGAACTAAAACTTGTGAACAACTACTAATTTGCGTTTTCCCTATGTGACTTGGTGTAGCGACAGTAGGCCTTCAATTATTAGGGCACTGCCCCTGAACGTAACATCTCATAACACCACATTCGAGTGCTAGAATATCCTAGAACCTACTTTGTAAACCCATACCTGTTGCTAAGGAGCAGTTAAGAGAAGTTCTATCATTTCAGTCAGACTACTAAGATTGCAAATCAGGCCAGTTTTCAAGAATGCAGCAATTCAGACCTAGACTTGTACTTGAGATGGGATTATCACATATTCTCTTGCTGTTTTCTCTCAGTATCTTTTGCTCTATCTGTGCATGTAATAGCACAGTATCATGCTCAACCCATGCCTGGGATATCAGAGAAGAGGTTTAGTTGAAAGTTATGGTTAGGCAATAGCAGATTTAATTTGAAACTTCCTTTTAAGGAGGTGACAGGATAGGTAAACATTTTCTATTATAATTTAACTACAAAAATCTTTTCTGGATACTAGAAGAAGAGGATGCTTCAGAACACCTACTTTTTTTTTTTCCTCCAATTACTATGCTTTTTTTACCCAGGCGCCTCTGAATAATCAGTTTAAGGTTCCAAAGAGTTAAAGAGGGCAACTGATTACAGAAGCTTTTACTCAGTATCTCAACTTCAGTTTTGTTGAACAGGGCAAGGATTTCAACAAAAACTAATATATTGTTCTATAAACAAAACAAGAGAGACAAACAAACAAAAAAACAGTGCCACAAACTTATGAGCCTCTCTACACACTTCTCTGCAAGTTTACAAACCAAAACACAACATCACCTTCATATAAACAAACCAGAATGAGACACTGACTACAGACAGGGAAAAAAAAAGGTTTGGCTAGCCAAACATCACCGGTCAGACAGAACTAAATGTAAGAAAGAAAGAAAGATCACAATTAGTAGATGAGAACTAAAATTTTTTTTTTTTTTAAAGATTGCTAGTGATAGGTGTAACTCTCCTTCTGTCAGTAACCAGGCACTAAGGACCACATCGAAACAGCCCCTTGTCAGAGGGAGCCTTCTAGTTTTCCCAGTAGGAAGACAGACACAGGTATTACCAGCCTCAGGACACCATCGATGCAGATGTTTAGACCCTTTCAGGAGAGTTTTGCAGTGAACATTTACTGTAACACCTGAACTGCAACTGGCGTGAGCAAGGAATTCACTGTGCGAGATGCAGGTCGCAGGAGGCATCGCACCTGCACCTGTAACAAGGCTAGGAGGAACAGATGATGGTCTGAAGGGGAAGACCCAATGGGCCAGTAACACCTCCCAAGCAGGGGAGGAAAGCAGGATCCATAACCTCAAGGACGGCCAAATCTAAGGAAATGACGGTGCTACTCGGACACTACCGCACCAGGTCCAGCATGAGCGGGAGACAGGCCCCGTCTCTGGCCAGGTAGGTGCACGCTGTCACCAGGGGGGCTCCATCACACTGCCAGGGCAGCCACCCACCCTCACCAGGAGGGCCACACTCCCACAGCAGCCTGGCCCAGGCCGGGAATGTCACTGGGGGGGGGGGGTCACAGGGCAAGGCAAGGGGAAGCAATGCCTGCTCACGCCAACCCATACGGCCACCAGCCGGCAC